TGGGACAAACACAAAGGTGCAGTTCGGCTGCCTGTTGTCTACCGTCTTGTCTTCGACCAAAAAACAACACTGCTTTGTGCGGAATAAATCGATGGAGGAAATGTGTCGTTTCACTTTGCTGGCTTTGATTTCTGTGCTCAAAATATATTACTTTAACTTACCGAGTTGTGTAGCTCAGTAGATGGCTATGGTTCGTGGTTAAAGAATGATCTTACCGAGTTGTCTAGCTCGTGATAGCGGGTTAAATGAATGGAAACAGAAGCCGCCCATTTAACTAGAGAATGTTGGTATGTAAACAAACACCTAGAAAAAATGTTCAGCTTGTAAAACGGCTGAGTGAATAACAGTTTATTTATTTTACATGAATGGAAATGATTATGTTGTTCTGGTCCCCTTTAGTCTCAAGTCAATGAAAGTAAATTAAAAATAACAAACAAAACTTGGCATAGACGCAGAACCCAAATTATGAAATTATGCAAACCAAACCGAATTTCCTTTGAGGCAAACGAGAAGATTTTCATGAACGTAAATCGAATGGGAGCTCAGTTTAAAATTGTTTACAGGCCAGAGTTAATGCTTGTTCTTTTGTTTACGTTTTGAATTCATGCTGAGTTTACGTCAAAACATGAAATTTTGAAGGCCTACTATTTTTGCGAGTCTACGGAAACTGGCGCCGTCACGCAGCGTTTTGAACAACAAATATCGACCATCGTAATCTATACAGGGGACCTCTTCACTGGCATGGACTTTGACACTGTGATACATCTGTCTGTAAGTGACGGTGTCGAACGCTGTCATGATCTTTGATTACTACTAGTTGTAAATAGCCCTGCGTTTTTGTCATGAGTCCCTGGCTCGGGAGATTGGGCAACCACTCCCTACGTTTACGACTTAAAATAAAATTACCTTACATCACCTTAGACGTAATTACTTGATTTTCATATTGAATTACTTGATGTCGAGTTGCTTTGACCCTGGAGCTATAGCTACTTTTGCATTTGTGGCAAGTTTCAGAAACACAAGGCTCTAAGTGTATCATAGTTAATTCGCATGTAACTGTATTTTGGCGAAATTTTCAACGTTGCTGCCGTTCATTTAAAACAGTATTGTTCACTTGATATTTCCTTAGTATGAGTCTAGATCTTCAGTGACAAAACAAAATAGCGACGGAAATTTTCACTAGCTTATGGCATATGGGAAAGTTTCATTTGGTTATTATTTTATACAGGAACGAACGACAAGGGCAGTATTGTACTTGTCCCGTAGACAGAGGGGCGGTGTTGCACAAGGTAAATGTCGTTTTATTACTCGGGCTTTCGTAACAAAGCCCGAGTCATAAAATGGAAGCGTTTTGGTCGCCAAAAGTGGGGTCATGGTCCCAGACATTCCATGCGTAGACCATGGAAACTGGGGACGAGAAACGCGACATTGCTCGCTCTTCGTGACGGAATGCGGTGTTTTGCGAAGAAAGTTTTGGCAAGAATCGCGCCTTATACGTTCATCTCATATACAAAGATGTCGATCGTTTTCAGAAAGGGTCGGTCCACGAATTGTATTGCTTGAAAGCCAGCCAGGTAAGCAAAGTTCACGCTCGAAACGTTCTCGTGAGATGACAACTGAGCCGATTGCGGTATGAGTTCAATCTACGAAAACATTGGCAAAAAATTGACAGTCAATGACGGTATGTGGCTAGTGCTGTTATTATTTAGAACATTGCCGTAAAACAAATCATACTGCAATAAAACGAGCTAAATACGAAAACGTTTTTGGCCTCGTAGCTCATTAAAAACATGCGACTTGTTTCTTGCACCGCGCAAAATATGTCTCCAAAGTTATAAAGATAAGACATTCGGTAACTTGAATTAAATATCTTACCTCGAAGTTAGTTGACTTTCTAGTAGGGTGCAGGAAAAAAAAAATAACGTGTGAATTTGGAGGCACATTGTGCGGGAGAATTAAACCTTCTATTGTGCGGGGAATTGTGCGGGATTATTGGCGAACCAATGTTCTTGCCAAGTCCCAAGGAAAATCTGCATTGACGATAGTTTAGCCAGATATTTCACTAGTAGTTCAAATATATTTAGCAGCCTTAGCAATCGTCAGTTCTTTTAGAAAACTGTGTCTGACTGCAAAAGAAAATCATGTTGCGCGCATGACATGAACTAGACGAGCATGAAACCAAAATAAATAGCCAAACAGAATGCCGCATCTTCCCTTATCATAAATGAGAGTCCTTTTTAAAAATACTCCTGCTTTGATTCAATAAAAACATATAGCTTGAATATTTCTTTATTAACTGCGTTAAGGGTCGCAAATTCTTGGAAGTTATCCGGAAAATACACAACTTGAAAGTTTATGCAAATTATGTGCAATGCAATTTCAGCCCAGTCACAGGACTGTTGTTTTCGCGAAGGAGGTTATCATGATTCGTTTTGGCTCTCTCGAAAGGGATTATTCGCTCTCCAAAGGAGATATGACTATTGAAAAGGGTTTAAGATCGCAACACGGCAAAGATGCTCAGCTACACAATTTACTCGGATCGCCACGACCAGTAAACAAACTTCGTAAAATTTCTGCTAGCATGTACAAAGTAATCGCCATAAGTTGTACAAAGACCTCGAAAATTCTTTGCAAGCAACTTCTCCATCAGTGCGTACACAATTGTGCTTCATTCTTGAACCAAAATAGTTTAAACTCACAACTTGCGATAGGATGAGGTGGATACACAACGAAGCAACTTGAATAGTAAATATCTAAGCGGAACTCTTGTGCTAAAATATCCTGATTCTTTAATTTGGTTTTATTGTGTCCAATACGCGTTTTCGTAAAGCACGATTTGATACTGTGGTACGAAGCCCGAGTAAACGCTCTTAGAGCTTCTAGTTACTATATGTTAATTATTTTTTAAAATCCTTGATATCCAACAGTATTTTAGGCATTAATTATCACTTGTAAAC